GGGGAATCAAACCTGGTTCTCCCAGATTAGAGTCCGCACACTTAACCACTACACCAGACTGGCTCTCCACACCTTAAAAAGGATATTATAGCTTTGGAAAAAGTGCAGAAAAGGGCAACTCGAATGATAAAAGGGTTGGAACACTTTCCCTATGAGGAAAGGTTAAGGCGCTTAGGGCTCTTTAGCTTGGAGAAACAACGACTGAGGGGTGACATGATTGAGGTTTATAAGATTATGCATGGGAAAGAGCAGGTAGAGAAAGAGGTACTTTTCTCCCTTTCTCACAATACAAGAACTCGTGGGCACTCCATAAAATTGCTGAGCGGTCGGGTTAGAACGGATAAAAGGAAGTACTTCTTCACCCAAAGAGTGATTAACACTTGGAATTCACTGCCACAGGAAGTGGTGGCGGCTACAAGCATGGACGGCTTCAAAAGGGAATTAGATAAGCATATGGAGCAGAGGTCCATCAGTGGCTATTAGCCACAAGGTATAGATAGGGACTCTGGGGCAAGTGATGCTCTGTCATCTTGGTGCTTGGGGGGGGTCAACAGTGGGAGGGCTTCTAATGTCCTGGCCCCAGTGGTGGACCTCCTGATGGCACTGGTATTTCTGGCCACTGTGTGACCCAGAGTGTTGGACTGGATGGGCCTTTGGCCTGATCCAACATTGGCATCTCTTATTTTCTTATGTGGAGGAGGAGGGGCTGAGAGAGCTCCCCTCCCCACAATGGACACCCGGTGAGGTGGGTGGGGCTGAGAGAGCTCTTTCGAGGACTGCTCCTGAGAGAACAGCTCTGAGAGAACTACGGCTTGCCCAAGGTCATCCAGCAGCTGCTGCATGTGGAGGAGGAGTGGGGAATCAAACCCGGTTCTCCCAGATTAGAGTCCGCGCTCCTAACCATGACACCAAACTGAAAGAAGACTGTGCCTCTGAGCATGTCCCGATTTCATCTCTCTCACCGCTGCCCATCCCCACACACCCCACTCAGATATGGGCAACACATCGGTGAGGATTTCCTCCATCGTCACCTGGCTGTAATGGAAAACGTCCGGGGGCCACCCAGATGAAGGCAGGAGACCAGCCGAGGGGGGCTGCCCTTCTCTGCCTCTGCACAGCACCCCTGGGATCCCTCTGTGGCCTCCTCTCCTAGCCTCCCGCTCACACATGGCTGTCCAGGACAAAGAGTCTGATGTGCAGGGCCATAGCTAGGGTCTTTTTGTTGGGGGGCAGTTGAGTCACACTTAAATTACTCCGGATGCCTGTCTGGGAAGGGGGAGGCTCCGGGCCTGTCTCTTGCCCTTCCTTTTAAGGGACGGGACGGGGCAGCGAGAGCGTGTCAGTTCCGAAGATAAAACAGCCCAGAGGGAATCCCACTGCTGCCTCCAGAGGGCATCTGAAGGACTTCCGAGTTCCCTTCCACAGGGGGAAGGAAGCCTAGAAGGGCACTTCAGTACGCCTCCAGCATCCTCCTTGCCCTGTGAAGGGGAACTGGAAGGGCATTTGAATGCCTCCCGAGCGGTCTTTTCCTAGGTCGCGCGATGCCCCCCCCCCCAATTCCACAGTGGGAGGGAGGGGGAAGCCGCGGCACTCTCACCCTGGCCCCAGCACCAGGCAGTAGTGGTCTCTCCTCAGAAACAAGGCTCCTGGCATGGCCGTCTGTGGAGCGGGGCTTTTAGTTAAGGGGGCAGGGCCCCAACGTGTCCCCACTGTAGCTATGGGCCTGCCACTGCCACTGCCACTGTGTGGATCTGGGCAATACGTTTGCTTGGGATGAAAGGGCAACGCTCCAGGGTCTCGCCAGGCCTGCAGGCGCCCACCTCTTCCTTGGCGATGCGCATGTCGTCGGTCACGTCGGAGAAGACGGTGGGCTCAATGAAGAAGCCCTTCCGGCCCAGGCCTTTGCCGCCGCACTCCAGCCGGGCACCCTCGGTGATGCCGCTCTGGATCAGCTCCAGGATCTTGTTGTATTGCTTCTTGTCGATCTGGAGGGGGAGGGGGAGAAAGACCCCGCTTCAGGTTCCTCCCGGGGCTCCCGGGGGAATTCCACTCCAGTGGGGGGACACCAAAGAAACGCGCCAGTGGACGCTCTCCTCTGGCCTTCGGCACCCCCAAGGACGGGAATCCACGGCTCCTCCCGGGTGAACAACTCGTGGAAACGGATGTGCGGAAGGCTGCCAAACAGCTCACGCGGACACACCAGAGGCTGCCCTACGCTGAATCAGTCTCCCCCCACCCCCACGGTCCATCAGGGTCAGGATTGCCTACTCAGGCTGACAACGGCTCTCCAGGGTCTCAGGCAGGGGTCTTTCCCACCACCCACTGCCTGGTCCTTTCTCAATCGGAGATGCCATCGGGGACTGAACCTGGGACCTCCTGCATGCCACGACCCCACACCTACGATAAACAAAGCTGCCTTCCACTGAGTCAGGCCCCTGGTCCACCAAAGTCAGTATTGTCTACTCAGACTGGCAGTGACTCTCCAGGCTCTCAGGCAGAGGGTCTTTCCCATCACCTCCTGCCTGGTCCTTTTAAAACTGGAGACGCCGGGGATTGAACCTGGGACCTTCTGCATGCCAAGCAGAGGCTCTGCCCCTGAGCCACAGTCCCTCTTTACAGCTCTCCAGGGTCTCAACCAGGGGTCTTTCCCATCACCTGCTGCCTGGTCCTTTTTAACTGGAGACACTGCCAGGGATTGAACCTGGGACCTTCTGCATGCCAAGCAGGTACTCTGCCACTGAGCCACAGGCCCTATTTACAGCTCTCCAGGGTTTCAGGCGGAGGTCTTTCACCTCACCTCCTGCCTGGTCCTTTTTAAGTGGAGATGCCGGGGATTGAACCTGGGACCTTCTGCATGCCAAGCAGAGGCTCTGCCACTGAGCCACAGCCCCTGTTTACAGCTCTCCGGGGCCTCAGGCGGAGGTCTTTCCCATCCCCTCCTGCTTGGTCCTTTCTAAGTGGAGATGTTGTGGATTGAACCTGGGACCCTCTGCATGCCGAGCAGAGGCTCTGCCCCTGAGCCACGGCCCCTCCAGGGCAGTTGGCGACCAGGAATCCTCCTGTGCAGCAGAAAGGCCCGCCCCCTCGGCCCCCTCTCGTACCTGTGGGCCTTGCTCCGTGGCTGGATCGAAAGGGCTCCCCACCGCTCTCCTCTTGGCCCGCTCGACGCTCCTCCGGACAAACTCCTCGTAGATGGGCTCCTCCACGTAGACCCGCGAGCCGGCCGTGCAGCACTGACCCTGGTTGAAGAAGACCCCTTGGTGGGCCTGCTCGACGGCGTGGTCCACTGCAAAAACCAGGAAGCCGCGTGCTGAGCTGCCTCGTCCCACGTCTGTCACGCCTGTGCCCACGGCAGAGGCGTCACCCCTGTGCCGCCCGGGAAGGGCGCTGGGCGACTTCAAAGCAGAGAAGCATGGTCCCTGCTGCGTGTGCGTATGTGGGAGGGGAGGGGAGGTGGGGTCCGACATCAAAACATCCCCACACATGTGCGGAGCGGACCCTGCCGCGGCTGAGGATGATTCATGCGTTCTACGTCGGGATTCCTGTAAGGACGGGGCTGAGATCAAAAGGATTTCGAGGCCCAGGGAGGGCGGGAAGATACCCAGCGGGAGGTGAGTCACATTAGAGCCAACAATGGAGTAATTAATGCTCGGCCTGCCCAGCTCAGACGTTGTGCGGTGGTTAAACCACATGCGCAACTTGGATCTCGGTTCCCTTGTGGAAACTACAGGCAGAGGTGCTGAGGACGAACCTCCAGAGGGAAAGGTCCTGCGTAAGATTGTCAGAGTCGGAACCCGTGCTCCCTCTAAGGTGAGTTAGTGTGAGCTAGCTCACAGTTTTTTAGCCTCTGGCTCACCCATTCTCTGGCTCACCCATTTCTGTCTTAGCCCAGGAAGGAGGGCTCCAGAGCAAACTGGTTTATGCAGCAGCCGAATGGCTGGCTCACAACTTTAATGCCAGGAGCTCACAAAGCGGAATTTTTGCTCACAAGACTCCACAGCTTAGAGGTAACATTGCATTGGAAGAGACAGACGGGCCATCGAGTGCCACGAGAAGGTGAAATAAACCCTTGCGTCTCCGACTCCTTTTTGGATCTGGCCCCAAAGACACCCGGCTGTCCTCGGCCAGAGACGGGGCTTTCTCGGCTCTGGCTCCGACCTGGGGGAACTCCCCGCCAACTCCCAGCAGGGCCCCGCAGGACGTCATGCCCTTCCGCAGGGCCCGTCAGGCAGCGGATGTTCTTTCGGTGGAGGGCAGCGAGGGTTCTTCCATCTTAGCTGGCTCCCTCCTCTTTTCTTCCATCCTTCCCTCTTTGACCCCCTCCTCAACCTACCCGCGGGACAGAAGAACAGTCCAGAGTAGGTCTGAGATTAAATTATGGGTGCCACCTGGAGATGATCAGATTGGGAATAACTGATCTGCCAGTTTTAATCTGTACATTTTGTATGTTTTTAGCTTGTTGTGTTCTCGGGGACTGGGCAATTCAGAAGCTCAATAAATGTAGGTGTTTCTTTGATACAGAAGAAGAAGAAGAAGAAGAAGAAGAAGAAGAAGAAGAAGAAGAAGAAGAAGAAGAAGAAGAAGAAGAAGAAGAAGAAGAAGAAGAAGAAGAAGAA